AATTATACAATTCATTGTTCAGGAAAATAAAATCGACGGAGGAACAGATAAAATAGCTTGTGTAAATTATAGTGTACAATTTTATGTCTATAACATAGAAAAATTTATACTCCATGTATTGCTAAATAAATTTTACTATCGGTTTCTATACAATTGAAATAATTTACCTTTATTAAAAAATTAAAGCTCCTGAATACTCGACTAAGAATTCTGCGTTGACAGTGGCGACAGAATCAGACGATGGTTTGGCGAAACCAGTAGTCACACACTCAAGCATGAACCCATGTCCATGTGCTCGTTTTCAACGCGCTTAGAGTGAACGAGACAAGGAGCTTCTCACACTAATCGCTTGTTTCAAGCAATCGAAAATGTTTTCTCAGCAATCTTGGTCGCTTGGTGGCCTTCAGCATCAATAAGGAGCGAGGAGCATTCTAAATAACATAAGTTTTAATAAATTGTAGTAATAGTGTACCCCTCCTATTAATCCAGAATAGTATAAATCATGTTAAAACGCAACAGTTTATGAGATATTTAATTGTTTACGATTTTTCATGAGCATTATATACCTCCTTCATAAATTTGAGTAGCAAGAATAGTTCAGTAGAAGTAGAATTTTACCGGAAAAAAATTATAAATCAGCATTTCTCTTACGAAAATCTTCGAAAGGCCATCAGAAAATAAATGTGTATATTTGAGATTCGAGGCTTGTGAAGGAAATATACGAAATAAAATCAAATAGTAGCAAAGAGCATGTTTTTTGCTTATAAAACGAAAGATATTGATTGTATGGAAAAAAATTTTGTATGAAAAATGTAGATATTCGAAATACCTACAGAATGAGATGTGGAACATTAAAATCGATCTATTAGTTAAGTAGAAAAATAATAAAAATCACTGAAAAAGACTTTTTTTAACTCTCTCTCTGTTCATTGAGATTTAAACGCAAAGCATTGAAATTCTCGTAAAATGTAGCCCTCGTAATGACGAACAAATCTAGCCCTGAACGAGCCTGAAATGTTCATTAGTTATTGCAAGAATTATTTGTTCATTAAAAACCTGTTTGCGGAAAACTTAATTACTTCATCTTTGAGCAGTTGCACAGCAATTTACAGGGATGATTTTTCTTCTTCAAGAGTTGCACTATTACGCGTGCTTTTCATTTGATGAATGATAACGCAAGTTGACATAAGTCGACAAGCGTCGTTCTATCCTTCTTGACATTCATAGAGTGACAAAGATAGAACGACACTTGTGTCGACTTGTGTCATCAAATGGAAAGCACCTCACGTATAACACTTAGTAACAAAACGATTTTTTGCAGTTAAAAACTATTTTAAAACGACTTTGAAAAATAGGTATCTTTTTTTTGTATAAAAAAATGGAATAATTTCGTTAATATGCATCATATCAAATAGCCGTGTGAATAAGCAGACAGCTGACATTTTTCTACAAATTTAAAAGAAAAATAATTACAATGAAATAAGTTTACAGGGTATTAAAGAGCGAACCGCAGAACTTGTTGCGTAAATTATTTTATATATTTAAATAATAATTACATGAGTTTGATATTCAAACCTATTCTTTTAAATTCGAAATCTTGACACGTTTCGACTACTTGATTGAGCCATTTTCAGAAATTCCAAAAAAATTTTTTTAATTTACAGATGTGACTTCTTCATAGAACGTTTTTTTTGTAAGCTGTTCCCAGAATAATTAAAGCTGCTCACATGACGGTTGGCCGTTGGAAGACCGTGTGGAGTAGGGATGTGCAATCTCGATCAGATCTTTTAAAAGATCGATCTTTTTGCAAAAGAAGATCGATCTTTTAATCGATTCGCCAGTATCCGATTTTAAGGTAGATCAATTCATTTAGTAAGAGATCGATCGTTCTTCTAAGCGTAGGAACGGATTCGGAAATTCAAGATATATTTTGATATCATTTCATTCCTGTTGTTCACTGAATGTTGAACAAGGATAAAATAATATCTATATATACTCAGGTGGTGTTTCTTAATGCTGGCAGCCCTGCCCGTTAGTTAATTCGTAACATTTCATCTTGGTCTCTTTCATTTCTTTATTTTTACCTTTAACTATCGTGGATTCTGTATCGTACTTATATCGTTCAACCGTTATCAGATTTGATTCTTATAAGTATAGGCACTTAAAAACTAAAAAAGTCGTATGTTTTTATATAGTAATTTTTATTGTGATTTTGTTGTACTATTAAACAAATATGGTTTATAATACATACAATAAAAAATAGTTAATTATTTTATTGAAAATTAGTCCTACATGTCGTGTTCCAAAGAATCTAAAGTTATAATATCATTACTGTGCCTACATTGCCTGCATTTACACGTTACTGGTTAACATTAATCGGGTTTAATAATATCCGTAGTTACAACTAGTAATTACTACTGACAAAATGTATAAATAAATATTACTTAAATTCTAATTTATACTAATTGACACTGACAGTTGTTATCAAATTGAATTTATATACGATATTTTACCGATTTTATATTAGTCATTGATTTATGTCATATAACTACAGATATTAGATTGAACCTAGATTTCTATTTTAAATTAAAATTATTTTACTCGGAGACAAATCAGAATCATGTTTTAATTGTTTTTGTTGAATTTCTACAATCGCAGTAAGAAATCATCAAATTGTCATCGATTTGATGTCTATTCCATTGATATTTCTCGTGAGATGTCACAAAAAAATTTTAATTGAATCGCTCTTCAATAGATCGATTCATTCAGGTCCGATCTTTTAATAGATCGATTTCAATCAATCCGATTTTAAATTGATTAAAAAATCGATACAATTAATGGAGATCGCACATCCCTAGTGTGGAGAATCTGATTAAGCTGACAATGAAAATTTAAGATAGTTTTCTCTTTCAAATATAAAAAATTAGCAGAGTCAATTCTTAAGCTAACGTCGCTTTCCATTTACAATTTTGTTCAAACTCAATCGACACACTTCGCCTCTGCTCGGGAGAAGAGTCAGAGTGTGTTTCGAGTCTGTTCAAGTGTAATTTTGATGAATTAAGTGATATTAGAACGCACCCGCAAACCAATTTCCATC